GTGTGTATGTGTGTGTGTGTGTGCGTATGTGTGTGTATGTGCGTGTGTGTGTGTGTGTGTGTGTGTGTGTGTGTGGGTGTATGTGTGAAGAAGCAAATCAGCAAAATAAAAGTCAAACAGCTGGGAAAATACTCGACACACAGAAACAACAGAGCGAAAAAAAAAAGAAATAGGAACTACTAGTGGCACCCTCCAACCACCCACAATAGTAAAAGTTGCAGATATACTCATCCCTTAGAAAAAAATTATTTTTTTTAAAATTGTGAAGCATGCTGACAAAATGAGTTACTTCTTCCAATCCACAAATGGAGATATTGGCCAAAAATAAACCCTAGGGTCAGATTAATTGATTTTCGATTGATGCAATATTCTTTAAGTATAACACGCCTTTCTTTATTTCATACTTAGAAATTGTCAAAGCTTAACCCATAAGCGTGACGTATCTATTTTCACAGGGCTCAAATCCGAGAAGCAACTCATTTTGTCAGCACACTTCACAATTGTTCCTCGATGTTTGAATAGAACTACTAGAGAGCTCACACTTGGAAGAGCCATAGAACTACTGGTGTGGGTGGTTGGTGGGTGCTCTGGTGTGGTCTGTTCCTTCTTTCCTATCAAACATTTATCTTTCTAATCTCTCCTCCTTTTTTGTAAGTACTCTCTTGTAACAACTCTAATCTTCCACATTTATATAACCTTATTGTGTTGTAAGTGCCGTAAAACTCTTACTAAAACTGAATAGAACTACGAGTGAGCTCACACTTAAGTGCGTCAATGACGTTCGTTTTCCTCAAAGTGGCAGAGATGTAGCGTAGACTCACCTGAAAAGACTTGATGAAGGTCCAGAGCAGGGTTCGAATCCCCTCCCCTCGGCTCAGCAGCTTGATCAGTCTCATCACGCGGAACAGCCGGAAAAAGTTACTGGAGATGAAGGCTTTGCCGGGCTGCGGGGGACACAAACCATGGACAGGCTCACAACACAGTGGGCACACACACTCCTACACCAACACTTATCAAGGTTTACACATAGTGGACACACACAAACCATGGGACAGGCTCACAACACAGTGGGCCCTACACCAACACTTATTACAGTCTACGCACAATGGGCACACACACACACACACACACACACACACACCA